CATTAGACATTTTAATACCCTCATCACTACATGGTTTCCTTAAATAAAAACATTTTGATTCTAAATTTATACAAAGCTTTTCATTAAACTCAGTAGATTGCTTGGTCCATTTTATAAGAGTAGCATCTTCATTGTCTTTTTTAGTATTTGATAGTGATAAATCATATAATTTTGATTTAAAAAACCTACATTTAGGCTTTAATTTTTCTTTTAAGGTATCACATACTTCTTCTTTGCTTTTATTCATTTTTTCCTTAGCACTGTCATATAAATCCTCTAATTGAGGTAAAAGGCTGCAAAGTTTATGACACTTTTCAATATAATTTTTGCAATCATCTAAATAATTATTTGATAATAATACTAAAAGATCAATTGTATCTTTTATCCCTGGTTTTCCAACTTCGTCTTTGAATATTTTTTCTTTTCCAACTTTTTCTATTAATATAATTTCTTTTCCTACTGGATTAAATGGTAAAGAAAAATATTTGTATTCTACTTCATTTTCACACTTTTTTTCTATTTCTCTACATTCATTATCAAGAGTGTTATTGCAATTTGATTTATGAAAATAGCATTTCTCAAATAATGAAATGCATTCTTCTTTTGATATTTTAGTCTTTTCGATAAAAAGTTTTGCCTCAAATTCTAAACTACTACATTTTGTCTCCATTAATTTCACGAGTTCGTTACATCTATTTAAGGGGATTAAACAAAACTTCATCAGTTCATCGCTTTCTCCCATGAACGCAAGACACTTTTTGTCGATTATTTTCTCACACTCTTCTTGAGTTTTTAAATTTCCAGATAAGGCTCTTAAAAGAAATTCTGTTTTCAAATCATCTCGTCTTTTTTCTCTACAAAATGCTCTTAAATAATTGCATTTTTCATTAACTTTTATTGAACATGCTTCTTCTATACGCATACATTCATTTTGATACAGACATTCAAAAGTACTTGGAGATGGTTTAGTCTGGATATCTTGCAAACTTCGTTCAAGTGCAGCACATCTTCTCATAATATTTTCTTTTAAATCATTGCACTTTTCATCTAGTTTCGTTTCTTGGCATAGTTCTTCTAATGCTTTGAAGGAGCTTTTTAGCATTTGAGTCATATTTCTTAAATTTTCACAGTATTTTCTTAGCCTTGCTTTACATTCAGTATTCATTGCATTTTTTAGAATTAAAGCAAAAATATTTCCTTCACTAAATAAATAATTTGTTAATTTTACAAGTTCTAGTATTATTTAAAGGTTTTTGTACGTTATATACAATAATGGATTTTGTGACGGATTTTGTGGTGGATTTTGTGGTGGATTTTGTAATGGATTTAAAGATTCTTTATAAATAGATTCTAAAAAGTTAAAAATCCGAAAAAATAAAATATAATACCAATGTTTTTTGAAAAAGCATACGCTATGCCAAGAAAGCTGGCTAATGCAAATGCTTTCATCTATAATGGTAACAAATAATAATTTTTATAAAAAGTGCTTCACATTTGACATCGAAAAATATCGTTCTCACTAAAAAATAGCGATAAACGATAATAATAAAATACAATAAATAAATAGGTAAATGTGTATTATTTTGTATTATACTTAGATATTTTTACTTTTGGTGGATTTTTGCTTTCTAATACGTAAATTTTCATAAAAAAATATTTTTAAAATAAAAATATAATAAACGTTTTAAACAATATAATTTTATTAATATTTTTTATGATTTTTACTTTCTAATACTCTTTTTAATATTATTCTCTATCTTTTACTTTATTTTTATAGATATAAATAGTATTGTCTTGATCTTTTCTACATCTGCTTTATTTTTTGAATTTAACTTTCCGAGTGCTTCTAAAAAACTTGAAAATATAGTCAAGATTTTCACTTTTTATTTTTTATTTAAAGCTATTTCATAAATTTATTCATTTTTATTTTTTGCTCTTGGTTTTAAAGTTGAAATATAAATTTTAGGTTATTCATGTCATTTTTTGTTTTTTTAAACTTTTTGTTGATTTTTCTTATTCTAGAGTAATTCAAGTTGTAAAAATGCTTTTTAAATAATAATGATTATGACTTTTAAAATTTATTTGTACCTTTATGTTTTAATTTTTGGTTTAGGATTTTTATTTTTTTTATTTCGTATAAGTTTTTTGTACACTTTTAATATTAATAAATTCCAGTATATTATTGTCTTTAAGCTTTTTAATTTTTGTTTTAAATTCTCTTGTTCTTTAACTTTTTT